CAAATTATTATTGTTCGCTAATCGGTTTCTAAGATTGCATGTACTTATGTAGAATTATCGATTGCAATCGTGTTTCACGTACACATTTATCACTGTACATTGAAATTGAAATTGAAATGCACGTTTGATGACCGCGTTGTGTTCACTTTTACTATACACAGTGACGAAGAAAAGTACCGAGACTGGCTTATCTTGTAAACTTCTACACGAATCTGCAAAAAAAAACCCGACCTTTTGTTCAACTTCTTTTATAAATATAAGGTTGAAAATAGCGAGTTCGTAAAAGTGTTATTAATAATTTTTATTACAATGACTATGAACCAACACTTTGAGTAACTCTGCAAGCAACGTTAAGCAACGAAAATTTCTGTTTTAATTACGATTCCAATATTGGTTTTCATATTGCTCTTAGATTATTTCTTTGCAGAACACCTTTGTTTATTTCCAACGTCAGAATGAATTCTCCTGTCGATTTTACGATAATTGAAATTTTACATTTCGCGTGCTCTTCATCACTTACTTTCTTGGTACAATCATTTAACGACAACGAATTATCTAAATTTTACACTCGAAAGTCATTGTACGCGCCAAAGAATTGAACGAATACTTGAAAATCGTGCTGAGGATTTTATAGAGAAATCTAGTCTGCCTGTTATAGAAAGATTCAATATATGTTTGTTGATTCATGGAATTTATTTGTTTTGCAACAAGCAACGTTATCTTTGAAACGTTAGCAAAACCACTTTTCCACGTGCCGTAAAATATGGGGCAACTAAGGAAGGTTTGATCGGCGGTAAATTTCAAGTGAGAAACGAAAGCGTTTCGCCATTGCGTGGTATTGGTGAATATTTCAATGTATCGCTTTCACCGTAAAATCACCCGTTCAGGCGTACGTATCGACCGAGATTTTCACAACGGTCACGCGGCGCACTTTCACGTAGCACTTCGTCTACTTTTCTCTGCTCTCTTTAATATGCGTCATTTCTCTTTCACAAAAACGCCACGTATCGCTGTTTCGAGCGCGTATATACGCTTCAGCCCAGGCCGATAATGTCAGGCATGATTAGTTTCTTACACGGAATACCCGTTAGGAAAGTGTGCCAAGACGTCCGTGAGTTTCTCGGCTCGCGTGGCTTATAAAATTATGATAAATTTCATAGCAGGAAGTACATTTACGACGAACCGAGAAAGCTTTCCTTACAAGTTCGCGCGTCAACTACGCTCATAGAAAATGTATCGCGTTTCATTAGTCTTAAGGCCACGCGTCCGTTTATTTCAGTCGAATTCCCTGCACATTTTGACAGACATAAAGCGTTCCATAGCAAAATTCGGGAAAATCTACGACGCGATAAATTCCAGTGACAAAATTCCCGCTGTGTTCGTCTTGGTAAACGTTGAATAAGAAGTACAGAGGTTTTGTTGTTTAAAAAATAATCAGCTTCGCTTTGATATCTCGTCCACTTATAGAAAAATTATTTATATCGTATAATAAAGTTGTATAAATAATCCTTGTATTTATACGAACACGTTTTTCATAGTTTCGATCCTTCGTGAGACATTAGACGTAACACCCTGTATACTGTCATACGTAAAGATGAATTACGATGACGGTCAGGCACATATATACATACGCATCTGAAAGACATTGACGATCATCGAAGGCGTGGCAGACGATTGCATTGTGTGTTAATCCGCAGCACGTGCAAACACGCGTGATAACAGGAGCAAACGTTTCTGCCGCGTTGCAAACACCAGATTTCCATCTAAAAATTGTCGGACTTGGTGCAAACCGTACGTTATGTGACGTTGAATTTCATCCATGCTGATTATATCGATCGGGGCTAATGAATAAGACATAAATTTGTTGGCATATACGATGTCGTTTATCGAACGATATGCAAAGTGAATTCGCCGGAGAGCAACAAAGTTTACTTGGGTCCCAAAGGAAATTAGAAGATGATAGTTAGTTTCGTATTGATTTCTTATGAATTACAAATTTCTCGGATACACCGGTGGGAGTCGCGTCGATTGAAGTTGACCGAAGAATCCAACAAGTAACTATTATCTTCCAACTTTCTCTCGTTCCCCATTCTTCGATTTAATTATCATAATTTATTATTCATTAGATCTGCTGACAAGTCGTAAACTTATTTGCATTTCCACCACTGATTCTTATCTCGATACCCACTACTCTTATCTAATTATTATTAGCTAATTATTGAATTCGAATTGCAATTTCTCAATTGCCGGAGTGAAATATTTACTAGGAAAGCGAAACTATTTTTTTATAACGAAAAATATAAAACGAAAATAGAAATAAACAACGGAATCGGTAAAATATTAAATGCATTCGGTACTTCTCGTAAGTATGTGAAAGCTTTGGTAGATTTATCGTAACAATATATGAATCTTATCTGATGTGTAGAAATTAATGGCAGAATTATTAACGAAGAACTGTACTTACAACGTTTTTTTATGGAATTACTAATATACAAATTACCTGTATAAATTACCTGTATAAAAAGAGCAATAAAATGTAATGTTACCATTTGTCATATACGCTATTAGATACACTTTTTAATTAAGTATTACTGCTTACAGTAACATCGAAAGTTCTTTCATCGATTCGCTTTAAAGTGACTTATATCCGAGAAATTGAAAAATCTAAAGGTAGAATACAAATAAGACATAATTGCAAATACAGTTTCGTTATTGCATATCGACTTTTGAAGATCGCTTTAATCAGGTCACGACATATGAAACATCCATGGCAGAATTAATAACTAGGAACAGTACTTACAGCGGATTTTCTTATGGAAATACTAAACTACGAATATAAATTAGCTATATAAAAACCGCAATAAAATCTGATCTTGCTACTTATCGTGCAAGCTACTACATACGTTTACCAGTAAGTTATCATTACGTAAATTAACATCGGTAGTTTCTCCATTAATTAGAATGATTCCTCTTGATCCGACTTAGAATTCAGAAACGAAAGAATGCTTTCCAAAGCCAAAGTACTTGCCAAATAAAAGGCAATTACGAATACTAGTTTCGTTATCGCGTACTGGCTGTTAAAAATCACTGTAATCGGGTCGCGATACATCAGACGTGGCTACGACGATCGTAAAAATCAGTGTAGTCTCACTTATCGATAATTCTCTAATTAAAACGTAATTCATGAAAAAGAAGCAAGTGTCGGGTAGTTTTGAGCTGCGGTGTGTATCAATCTAAGTATACTTTACTAGGTAAGAGCCTCTCGAAAATGTAGCCGAGAAAACGCGTGGTGGCGGCCGTTGCTTGGTAACGTGTTAATTTCGTCGCCGTGTCTCTTGTTCGCTGACGTGGAATCTGGTGATCGCGCTTTCTGCCGTTGGTGAACAAGTACACGGGGTTCGCACACACGATAACGCGAACGCCAGCATGAACGAAAGGAGGGACCGAACGTGTCGCGTTACTTCGCTCCAGATGAGACGTTCCAGAGAAGAGTAGGTGGGTTGTATGCGAGGGTTCAACTGAGCAAGGTAGCGTGCCGCAGGCGATTGATGACTTGTGACCCACTTTTAAAGGCTTGGTGGCCTAGATGCGAGGGTGCCGTAACCTGATCTAAGATATCAGGCTTCCCTCCTCTCCTTCTCTTTCTACCGACCGACCCTTCCCCCCGTTTTCTATTCCTTTACTCTTTCTAGTCTCGTCGTCGTGCCATCTACTTCACGGATGACGGTCTTCCAGACTTACGCCAGTTAAGACATAACTCGTGTCCTCGCAGGATTTTCCTTCCCTCCTTTTTACATCTTGCTTCGACGTTATATATATCTTGTACGCTCCGCCTTTCTCCGCTTTAGCTTCCAATGGACCCTGACAAATCGTTTCAAATTAAAACTTTGCCTTCTTTTTTGTTGCTTCGCTAGATCGCGATCTGCGTATGGCTATGTCCGTAGCTTGTACTTTTGAACTTCCCTGAATTCCAATTCCAATTTACTAAGTTTTCGTGTTAATTTTGTGTGAAGAATATTAGAAATACTCCCTGAGGTTTAAAGAATGTTATATGTCAGGTGCAACAACGTTTTGATATCTTTGATTTATTAAAACCCCAAAGCAATCCTTACAAAGAGTTACAAGTATGGCCTCACATTAGCGTTTGCATTTTCTACACCGTTCCTACGCCGTAGAACTATTTCCTAAGATACACGAGATTTTGGAAGTTACGTCTTTTAAGAAAACGTTGTAAGAGACCTGCTTATATACCGTTACAACACATCCGAGAGAGCGCTGCAACATCTAATCCATAAAATAAAAATCCCACGTTCCACGGTACTGTTTACGTTCTCTAAAATTCTTTATCGGATCAACTCAGTCTAATACGCTGTTTGGTAACTGCGTGGTTCACTGCACTCTGAAACGCGCAATCTTTTACGACTGCCGAATAAGATAGCGATATAAATTTTGCTGAAAGTAGAAGAAAAAGTGACGGCAACACGCTGATACGAAAGAGGCTGCTGAGCTTCTACTTTCCCCGTGATCTTCGTTAAGTTACCTCAACGAGACACAATACATACCGCTGTGGCGTTCTCGGATTATCTGCCATAAAGAAGCGCGTATCAGCCACGAGCATCGGCCGTCTGAAATTCGTCTTCACCGGTCGATGTCGGAAAGTTTCTACCGGCTAACGTCAACCACCACGCAACTTACCTTCTTTGCCCAGCTTTCTCCGATACCTTGCTAAATTGTGACAGGCTCGTCCACCGGAAGGAACAATGTTATGTGTATATAAGCGGTATAGGAGCATGGTAAAGTTTCGTTGAACGGTGTGGAGAGGTACATCGTAAAGAAAAGCGGGATGGGAAAAGTGGTGGGGGCACGTCTGTCGGCGGTGAGCGTGGTTCTAGTGGTGGGGGACAACGACGGTGGAGGGGGCAGTGGGTAGCATGGTGGGGCATCTCCACGTCGCAGAGCGATGCGAAAGACGGCGTAAGCGCGTTCGGTGGAGCGAGCTTCAGTGTCGTTGCAGCCGCGGTCCCGTATGGTTGTCTGACCGAGCGCTGTATTTCGATCCACTTAACTGTCGTTGTTGCCGTATTTAATCGGTCGTTTCCGTTGTCTGGAACGTGATCGTTCCACGCTACGTGTCTGACGAAACGACGCTGTTTACGCTTGTTCAGCTTGGATCGATCGTTAACAGTGTTACAGTTCTGTTTGTGGTATCGACTCGAAAGAGGCTCAGGATGACAATGGGCTAAACCGGTGATACCGTTGAAGCATCGGAAACGTTGTACCTGAATTTGGGTCAATGGAGTAACGTGTTGGTGTAACGTACTTGTCAACGATTGGAATACCGTGAGGTGCGGCATTTTCTGATAATCGGGAGAATATAACGGTGTCGTTGCTATATAAGTGGTATCGGTTGCGGGTTTTGTAAGATGAGCCCGGCCTCCCAGGGCGGCGTGGAGGTGGAGCGTTACATCGGTAGTTGTTTGATATCGTCGAGCATCAGACCAGGATCGCACAAGCCAATCGTCGGTAGGAAACAGGAAGCTGTGATTCGCGGGAAAACGCGAGGCTGTTACGGAACTGTGAACTTCCCGAGCGGAACGGAACAATGTCAGGTGCAGTACGGACCTGGCGGTTGGACGGGCGCTCCGTTGATATCCATGACGTCCAGCCCTCGCAGATGCACGCAGAGATCGTCACCGTCGCTCGGTCAGCAGCAACAGCAACAATCACCGCCGCCGCAGCAGCAACAGCAGGCTTGCGATCAGCAAGTATCGGTTCACCTACACAAGAATCCACTTTCTAGATTGGCCATTCACACGCAGGGAGCGCCGCTAATCCTGGCCAATCGGTTTCACAATCGCGGCAAGATACATAACAGCGGGAACGCTAATGGCATTGCTAATGCGGTGTGCAGCAATACGGGCGCAGTGAATAGTTACGTTCACAATAACGTAGCTACCGTGACATCGAACTGTACGATGAACAACTCGGTGAGGTGTCCACCGTCGCGGCCCCAGAGGCCGATAGAGCTCGGCAAGAAACAACAGACGAACGCGAAATCGTCGGACTGCGCGACGACCAAGGAAACGACGAACACGGGAAACAACATAGCGAATATCGATTCATTGAGTATCGCGAGCGACGAGAGTTCAGGGTCGAACAATTCCGAGAACAGCTTACCACGAATCATCAAGCCGCGGAAGCGCAGGAAGAAGGACAGAAAACCGCCGAACAACACGGTGGCCTCCGTGGAAGCGAAACACGACGAGCAACAGCAACAGTCAAATTCGAGCGTGGCCAACGAACAACCGAGCGCGGGTTCTTTAAAACCGTACGTGCCGGCTTGTTACGAGCAACGTTACGAAGCCGCGCCTCACCTTAGAAACCATAGAAGGCCACCCATAGCGAGGGAAAGGACAACGGGCAGCATGTCGGTGCAAGAGATAGCCGACGCGAGGCAAAGGTATCCGCACCGGCACGTGGAGGTGAAAGTGTTGGACGACAACAGAAACATCGTTGTGCCGGCGCAAATGCGCACCATTCCGCCAAAGGGTTACAGACATAACGGCCATCACCATTACCATAATCACGCCGTCAACGGCAACAACGTTCTGCGCTATCTGCACGAATACAACGAGCCGACGGCGACGACAGGCTGCGAGGACGGTATCAACGACGAATTAGGGCCGTGCCAGTGCCGGTATTGCGATCCCGCGGCTCTCATATGGGACGTGGAACAGAACTGTTACTCGCCCTTCTTGACCCCGTCACCGTCGACCGACTTCTGTCCCGGCCACTTCTCGCAGATGCCGCTATTCTTGTCCCGGCCGAGCCTCAATTGTCCGGAGCAGAGTATCGAGAGGCTTTTCAACGGCGATAACGTTCCTCGAGCCCATCAAGAGAAAGACGGCACCGGTAGCACCGGTGTCGTACTGAGGCGCAGCTGGAGCGATCCGACCAGTTATTTCAGCGAGGAGATCAGCACGCCTAGCAAAGACTTCGGCGTGATCGGTGACAGGGGACAGGCGGAGAGCGGGAAACGTCGAACGCTGTGGCGCGGCGACTCTATCGGT